AGAGAAACAAACTCTCACGGACTAAGGTTGGAAATGTAAAATGATCCGGCAGCTACTCAAAAAAAAAACCCAAAAAACCAAAAAAACAAACAAAAAAAACGAAACGTCAAATTACTGTTAGGACTGAACAAGGGAGTGGAAACTGAGGCTCAAAAGTTAAGTCCGTTAACTGACATGAGGGTTGGGGGGAAACTAAGAAAAGAGTAGATAAATAATATATACAGCATTGAAACAGATGAGGGTGTGAACTGCATAAAATATATGACAAGGTATTACTGACATGACAAGAGTCCAGAAAAAGAGCTGTATAGTAAAGTGGTCCGGGGTGGGAGGAACCTGTATAACAATGGAAGAACTTTTTTTCCCCTAAGAAAAAAGCGAACAGGGGCGGGGGGAGGGGGGGCGCACGCGGGGGCAGGGCAGAGAGGAAAATGTGCAACAATGAATCCTGGACTCCAAGGAGCATTCTGGCTTCACCCTCCCCAGGATAAACCTGTTTGTTCTCCTAGCAGTTGATGGTATACTCAACACTATTATCCAGCACTACAGCTCAAAGTCATCAATTCTCTTTCTATCATCCCTATTCACTGTCCAACTCTCTGATGCATAGCACGTAACTGCAAAGACTATAGCCTGGATCAGGGTCACCTTAGTCTCCAGCCTGATGTCATTGCTCTTCAGTACTCTTGGGAGGTCCCTCACAGCTGACTTTCCCAACGCAATTTGTCTCCTGATTTCCTGGCTGCTGTTACCAAGAGCAGTGACTGTGGAACCAAGCAAACTACAACTGTTAACTATCTCAATCTCTTCACCATCCATACTGATACTGCCAATTGGTCCAGTGGTGAGAATCTTTGTTTTCTTGATGTTGAGCTTCAATCCACATTGAGGACTGCAGTCCTTGACCTTCTGCAGCAAGCGCTTCAGGTCCTCCTCAGTTTCAGCAAGCAGGGTTGTATCATCTGCATACCGTAGGTTGTTTATGATTCTTCCACCAATCCTGATGCCACATTCCTCCTTGTACAGTCCAGCGTCTTGGATGATCTGTTCTGCACACAGATTGAAAAGGTATGGAGACAAAATACATCCCTGACGGACCCCCTTCTTGATTTTGAACCATGCAGTATTTCCTTGCTCTGTTCTGATGACTTGCTTCTTGGTCCAAGTATAGGTTTCGCACTAGCACAATCAAATGCTCTGGGATTCCCATTCTTCTCAGAGTCAGCCATAGCTTGTTGTGATCCACACAGTCAAAAAGCCTTTGCATAGTTGATGAAGCACAGACATTCTTCTGGTATTCTCTGCTTTCAGCCAAGATGCATCTAACATTAGCTATAATATCCCCAGTACCATGACCTCTTCTAAATCCAGCCTGCACATCTGGCAGTTCTCTGTTGACATATTGTTCCAAATGTTTTTGGATAATTTTCAGCAGAATCTTGCTTGCATGTGATATCAGTGATACTGTTTGATAATTTCCACAATTATAGATATAAAGATGTCAAAATGGTGGCCATTTTTGTTAGAACTTTTTAAAAAGTATCTTTATTATAAATATTAGTAATATTTAATAATGATTAGACGTTTTATTTAGTGAAATATTACCTAAACATAGAATAGAAAGTTACACAAAACTAGAAAAAGTTGAACAGTTTTAAGAAAGTTACAAAATTTCTCTTTTTAAATTGAGATTTTTTTCCCCCAGAGAATCCTTGCTATATGTTTTTGCTAAGAGGAGAAAAGAATATTTATCTTAGAACTAAATCAATGGCATATAATTTATAGTACTATAAATTTAGATTAAGCTGTTACCAAACTTAAACATCTTCTGGTTCTCTAGCTTAGTCCTAATGATATGTGAACATTCCTAAGTAGAAGCTTATCACAAAAGCATTAAAATGGAAAAGAAAAAGTAATAATCTTCATAGAAACAGGGAATATATTGCTCATTTCCCTGCTTTTAAAGTGCAGGACTTTTAAGTTTTCCTTGATAGATTAGGATAACCATACATGTACTTCTATGTAAGAATATAATCACTTATTCAATATTCAGTTACTGTATGTTAAGGCGCTTTCGCGACTTAATAAGTTATATGTTGTCCTGCGAATCCAAAGGTCAGCAGTATGAATCCACCAAATGCTTCCAGAAAGATGAGCAGTCACCTTCCATAAAGTCTGAGAGCCTCAAAATCAACTTGAGGCAATGAATTTAGTTATGTGTTAAGAGTATGGTAACTAACAAGGACAGGCAAACCCAGTATTAGTAAATAAAACAGGTGTTGTTATTGTTATTTTGCAAATGACAAAACCAGGGCATAGAGACTTTGTCCAAGGTCAGTCAGCTAGAATGGTAGAGAGGGAATTTGTCTGTAGGCTCTAGAAGCAAAGACAGATCTTAAAACTAACCTTTTCTGTCTTCACTCTCTGATTTTTATCCTTTTTATGGTGTGTGTGTATGATATGATACTGTTATAAATGGTATCTTCTTTAAAATTACATTTTTGTGCATGTGTTTTTTTGTATGTCTGACTTCAGAAGTAATAAGGATTTTTGCAGTTCATTTTATATTCAGCACTTCATTATTCTAATTAATTTTAACACTTCATCTGCAGTTTTTTCTTTTAATCCTTTAAAACATTTATCATTTGTATTCACGTTGTTGAAAATAAACAGCAAAACATACACAAATTCCACAATTTCTACATATAGGTCATAACAATGTTACATTCTTCAAGCTGTGCAACCATTCTCACCGTCCTTTTCTCAAGGGTCTCAAGTTTTTTATCTTATCAAACTTTTTGCTGTTTTCAAGCTGATTCCATGTAATTAGATTGTAAAAGCACAAAACGCTCAAGGTAGACATCCTGTACTGGGTTAAGCTAAGGTACTGTTTGGTTTAAGACTTCAAGGTTTTGGTTTAAGGTTTGAATATTTTCTCAAGGTAATAGTTTTAAGGGATTAATTCATCCTCTGTGACTCTAAAATCTGGATCTCATGAAAATTTTAAATTTTGTTCTGTATCTCTACCTTTTTTATTTGGATTCTTCTAGAGAATCTTTTGACAAAAATATTCAGTTACAAAGACGTATTGGCCATCCACTTCTAAAACAAAAGGCCTTTGAAAACCCTATGTACAATAGAGCAATTTAGACTAGCAGATATGGCAACTGAGGTTGAGCCCTCAAATACTGAAAACTCAGAGGAGGAGGAACAGTTTAAGAAGACACTACTGATTAAAACGTGGAATGTGAGAGGCATGCACAAATATTGACATACTAGGTACTGGCGAAATGAGATGGACTGGCAAGAGACATTTTGAATCAATCATATGATCGACTATGACAGAGATGCAAAATAGGGTTGCTATTATAGTTAAAAAAGTAATTTATAGATCCATCTTAAAATACAATGTTGTGAGTGACAGGATAATACCCATATGCATATAAGGAAATCCAGTGAACACCACTATCACTCAAATATTACCAATAACTAGAGCCAAAGAAGAGGAAAAGTCTGTGTCAGGGACCTCTTCAGAGTACTTTACTTAAGAGCATCGCTTCTTGGCCTTTTGGCTAAGATCAAGTGCAGAGTACTTAAGAGCAATGATGTCGTTCAGCAATGATGTCGTTCTGGACACTAAGGTGTGTCTGATCCAGGCCATAGTCTTCACAATTACTTGCTATGAGGCAAAAGGCTGGACAATGACTAGGAATGATAGGAGAATTGATGGCTTTGAGCTGTGGTATTGGAGAAGAGTATTGAATGGACTGCTAGGAGAACAAATAAGTTTGTCCTAGAGAGGGTGAAACCAGGATGCTCCTTGGAGGCAAGGATTCTGAAGCTTCATGTAACATACTTTGGATATGTTGTAAAGAGGGACCAGTCCTTGGAGAGTGACGTCATGCTTGGGAGGGTGGACAGACAGCGCAAGAGAGGAAGATCCTCAATGAGATGGATTGATTCAGTGACTGGAGCAATGGGAGTAGGTGTGTCAGAGACAACAAGGCTTGCACAGGATAGAGCAATATTCAGAGCTATTGTACATAAGGTCACAATGAATTACAAACAACCCAATAGCACATAACAACAATGGTAGCCTGGTACCATCTATTCTTCTAGCCTCTTGGCAATTGTTCAGTGAGTTAATTAGTCATACATTACATTTTCTCCTTATATTTCTGACTCTTCTTCCTACTTTTTTACCACTTAGGTGAACAGAGACCACTGATGTACTTTAGATTGATGCTGACAAGCTTTTAAGACCCTCAGCACTACCAGTAAGTAAAACAGAAGCACTAACCATATCAATTAACTTGGATGGCCCAAGTAACCAAATTCCATGAATTCTTTGGTTGTACCGAAGTAGCCTAAGTAGCTATTATTAGTTTTATTATTGTTGGGAAGATATCAATAATACAACTTATGCAAATTTATCTACTCATTATCATTCATTACGGGTTTTAGACCAGAATCTGCTAAGTCATCAGACCACCTGTTTCTGAGAAGTACTAACTTATCTAGCTAGGAGACTGAACACAAAATACAGCAATAAGCTTCAGAGAAGTTTGTTAGTGAAAGATTTCAATCAAAATGCAACCACTGTCCACCAGATGCTCCGCTAGAGAAGGAGGGGCAATCTCCTTCTGTGCCAGTCGGATCCTCTTCAACGGTACACAGCAAAAAAACCACAAACAAAAAAACCACCATCACTGGCCTAATTTAAAAAACTGAGAAACTCTCACTAGACCAAAGATAGTGACATTTTTGTCTGCCAGAGGATAAGGTAAGGAAGCAGTAACTAGTCATAAGCTAATTCTCACCAGCTAAAGCAGCATCCTCTTCACTTTCTGAGCCATACTGAAGTGCCATGGTAATTGCTGATAAACGGCCCCCCTGGACAGCTCTTTTATTACTACAAAGAAAACAAGCAATTAGAAGACAGAGATGATGGTTACGTTATAGAAAATAGGAATGGCTAAGAAAGTAAAATAAATTTACATTTAATTTAACCACACCTTCCACTTACATTTGTCTCTCTTAATATTCACAGTAGTCTTATCTCAGAAGACAGATTTATTGCCCCCTCTTTGAAAAAGAGAAAGTCTCACGTAATTTAACTGCTATTTGCTTTTTATTTAAATGCAGTTATTATTCCTTGTTGTAGGAAGGAGGATTCAATCAGAGTTACTGGTAATTTTCTCCTAAGACATACCTTTTTAGTAAAACAAAAATTATACCTGGCTACACAACTTACTGGTTAACTAACACTGCCTGACAAATAGCTTTTGTTAAAACATTTTCTGATCACAGCCCAATGCTGCAATAATGAAACCAGCTTACAGAAGCTTTCAGTAGGTCCTTTTCTTAACTGATAAAGAGCGATGATTAATTTTTTTATAGATAATGTGTATTTATTAAATGCACTAATGTGTGTTTTATCTTTCTCCCTCGCTGACTATTGCATGCTTATTTAAAAAACCCAAAAAACTGAAAAAGACATCATGATAATTAGTTGTGTACCATAAATGATTATATACAAATATTACAAATTTCAAAGGTTGTAAAGCATGGGCAGACCGATTTTATTTTAAAAATGCTGTTCATAACATACAAAAAGGGATTTACTATTTTAAAAAAAGTTTCGAGGAAGCTCTGGTGGCCTAGTGGCAAGAAGATATGCTGCATTCTTGAAAGGATGCAGTTTTAATCTACCAGATGCTTCGCTGGAGAAGGAAGGGCAATCTCCTCCTGCACCAACTGGATACAACTCGACAGTTCATAACAAGAGAGGGGAAAAAAGTTTCTGTGAGGTAAAGCTAGACCCTATTACAGTATCTCAACTTTTAAAATAAAACATGTGCTAACAAATTGTTGTAATAAATCTGGCTAAATAGGGGAAAAATTTACTTCAAGATAGGCATCAGAGGAAAAAGAGGATGCCTAACCACATAAGAATATGTCAGCTCTCAGACCACCCACAGCCCACACTCCCCACACACATACTCCCTCTTACCGGTAATATTTGCTAGTGGGATTTCTCTCTTCACTAAGGCTGCCTTTACCATGAGAAGAGCTTGTGAGCCTAGCTGCTGCCAAATGTGATGCAGTTCTAGTCAGAGGGTATAAAATAAGCTGTTCAGAAATCTGACAATTCAAATCAGAAATGAATCCATATATCTGGTCATCAATGAATGCTAAATATATAAAAAGGTAAGGTCAAAGGCATGAGGACAATAGGTTTCTTCTCAGTAATATAAATGTTTAACTATTTGAGTTCCTACTTTGCAGGAGCTCCGGTGGCATAATAGTAAGAACCTGTGCTGCAATCCCAAAGGCACACAGTTTCATTCTGCCAGCTGCTTCACTGGAGAAGTATGGGGGAATCTCCTCCCATGTGATAGCTGCCTCTGAAAATCCACTGGAGGTGACTCGCTAAGGGGCAGTTCTGACTCGATGGGACACAACAACAACAACCCTGCTTCAGGATCTAAAGCTCTGTGAAAGAGAGCAGATGTGGGCCTATCCTCTACAGTTTATATTCACTGCAGTGACCATGAATGGTTAGTAATAAAACAAAGGTCAGGGCCAGAAGAAAGGGTCAAAAGTAGCTATGCAATCCTTTCATGTCATATAGGAGGAAACAGATCTAAGACCTCTTCACAGTTCAAAGACAAGACAGAATGAGTGAGACTGTAGATCTCCTAATATTTGGCTAAAAATCGTTATGGAAAATGTAATTACACAAGCAAAGCACTCCTTAAAAATAGAAAAAAGGTAGGAGGCATCTCATTCCCTGATTTCAAATCCTACTATACTGCTGTGGTGGTTAAGACAGCATGGTACAGGTACAATGACAGACACAGATCAATGGAATAGAATGGAGAACCCGGAAATCAGTCCATCTACCTATGGTTGACTGATTTTTGAAAAGGAGATGAAATCAGTTAACAAGTGGTGTTGGCAAATATATGCACACCCATGTTTATAGCAGCTTTATTCACAATAGATAAGGAATTGGAAACAACCTAAGTGCCCATCAACAAACAAATGGATAAAGAAACTGTGGTATATTCATACAACGGAGTACTATGCTGCATTGAAAAACAAGGAACTCATGCAGTATTATTCAAAATGAGTGACCCTGGAGGACAGTATGCTGAGTAAAATATCTGTCACAAAAGGAAAAATGCTGCATAGTGCCACTGTTGTAAAACAAGACTGACATTGGAGTTAGGGGGAGATTGAGAAGGATGGGATAAATAATGTTTACTGCATTGAAACAGATAAGAGGGAAAACTGTTTAAAAGGGATATGTGATGAGGAGAAATGTGGGGTCAAGATTGGTGAACAATTTATCAACAACCTGCGTTATGCGGATGACACAACCCTGCTTGCTGAAACTGAAGAGGACCTGAAGCGCCTGCTGCAGAGGGTCAAGGACTACAGCCTACAATATGAATTGAGGCTCAATGTCAAGAAGACAAAGATTCTCAC